AATTCAGGACCGGGGACATAGGCCTTCGAGAACGTCGACGAAGACATAGGACGGTAGACGAGGAAGACGACGAGTTCAAATGTGATTGCGGCTTCGAATGCGAAGACCGTGTTCATGTAGTCGCGGAATGTCCGTTGTACAAGAAGGAGAGGGAAGTGTACGTGACTGAGCTGGGAAAAATAGATGGGACGTACAGGGAGATGTTTGAGGCATGGAATAGAGAGGAAAGGACGGTAGCTGTACTGGAGCATAGGAGGTGGGTTGAAAAGGCGGGAAGGGATATCGTTAGGATAGACAGACTAGGGAAGATATTTTTGAACGACCTTTGGCAAAGTAGAAAGGAACGATTGGCCATCGGTGATCGGTCCTGTGGGAAGAATGCTCCGTCCTCTCGAGGACGCGTGGTCAATGGTCTAACCGCTAAGGCATCCAAATCATAAGAGTACGCGCCCCCCCCCCCGTCCCCGTCCCCCCCACAAACACAATTCGCTGCACCCTTGCTTACGACACCAAGCAATCAATACCTTTCGATTGTTCTGGTGCGCGGTCCGGCTCTCTTTTTTTAGCACATCCAGAAACACTACCGTTCGAGGCGTAACCACAGCAGTCGAAGGGGATGTGCTGATGTCTTGCAGTGGCGGGCAACCGGCTGGAAACTTATCATTTTTCTTTCTGTTTTGTTCATATATATATGCATATATATATATTTTTTTTGTCTCAGGGCGATGTCTTTGGTGCCGGCCGTGGGCCTGTTCTTGGGGAACTTGGTGTGCATGTGCCTCTCGCTGGTGGAGTCGGCCACCAACAGGCAGAAGGCCAGGATGAAGACGATGCTTTCCGTCGATGCCGTGTGCGAGGTTAGTTGTGTATCGTTGTTGTTGTTGTCGTTACTACTGTGTCGTTGTTGGATGTGATTGCGTTGTTGTTGTTCTATCGTTATCATCAATGTTCAATGTGATTGCGTTGTTGTTGTTGTTGTATCTTTATCATTGATGTGATTGCGTTGTTGTTCTTCTATCGTTATCATTGATGTGATTGCGTTGTTGTTTTTCTATGGTGATCATTGTTGTGATTGCGTTGTTGTTGATGTCGCTGTCATCCTTGTTTACCGGTATCGTGCTTGTTGTTGTGTTTCGTTGTGATTGTTTTTGTTGTTTTTGTTGTCCTCACGGTCGAAACCATTCCGATCTCTGCTCAGTACCTTCTAGCGTCCGTAGGACTGGTGCAACTGACGCGGACGCCTTCCGCGGTAACCGACTGTCTAGTTATTTGGGTACCTTACGAACAGAGAAATTGCAGGACCTCAAGAAATGCTTTTTTTTTCACATATGTTTTCTTCTTTTACTTCAGTGCGTGGCAGAGACATTCTTGTTTTCTCCTATTTTTCTAGTTGCTTGGCAGATACTTTTTTTTTTTTTCAGTTTGCTTGGCAGAGACCTTATGGACAAGAAGCCTCGTTGCTCAGCCCCCCCTCTGCCCTCCCTCCCCGTTGTGTTTCGTCAGGGGTTACTGCTGGTGTACAACATGCTGCTGCTGTTGGGCGGCGCGTCTGGGCTAGTGCCGAAGGAAGAGTTCGTCGGCCGCATCCTCACCAACGTTGTTTTCTTGTCCCTCTGCGTCACCTTCGCCAAGGCCCGATGGGTGGCGGACGGCGCGTTCTGATTGGCTGATTCATCGACGGGAAGCGGCCTGGTCTGAACGAAGCGGCGCGGCGGCAGGCAGGCAGTGCTGGCCGTTGAGTGGTTAACTTCTTCTCGGGAAAAGGAAAGGAGGTGGATGACTGATTCTTAGGAGGGCCAGGCCATGGCCTGGCCCAAGGCGGTGTTGACCGGTGATTGATTTGGTCAAACGTCTTGTCGGGAAACGGGAAGGCGGGCGTACGTTGTGCCCCGTCGCGGTGCGGCAAGAGTTGGAGGAGTTATTCCGCTCTCAATAGTGCTTGATTCCGGTCAAAGATGAAAGTCCAAAGCAATGCGTACGTACTTCATCATCGAATATAGCGGGACCGAGTGCACGACGGGCGGTTGGGGGGGAGGGAGGGTAACGCAGAATAGGCGATGCTGTGGAGTGATTTGGATGCAGGCAGCGCTTCCGACTTATCTTTTTTGGTGCCTCTTATTTCTTTTTCTCTCCTTTTTTACTTTTCGTTTCGCGTGCGGAAACTCGCCGAAGAGCCAGAGGCTAATGTTTGCGGTGCTGAGGCAGCTGTGATTCTGGATGAGGTTTATATGTGAGCGACCCTACCCCCCCCCGTCCACACACACGGGGAGAGGGTCTGTCTGCTGCTGTTGTCGGTTGATCTGTCAGTCTATGTGCTGCTGCGGAATGTTAAAGACCTGGTCTTGACTTTTTTTTTTGTCGAACGACGGTTTTCATTGGCCCGATCGGGGCCGCTTGAAACTTATCAATCGGTTGGTTACGTTGTTGTAACGGTAGAAGAACCGTTATGCAGTAGTCCGTGGGACTTGGCTGGCTCCGTGGTTGAAGACCAAGGGGGGGGGAGGGAGTGGGGAGCTATCCGTTGATCTCATCGTGGGCAGTACGATCGCTTCTTGTCCACGAGTTGCGCTTGTTTCCGATGGCGCGTTTCTGTCGCGCGGAGAGGGGGCTTGCAGTACGCGCGTGCCTGTCGGTGATACGTACCGATTATGGCGTAATTTGACCACCTTTTGCGGATCTCGGAGTTTGTGTTTGGCGGGGGTACAGCAGTCGTAGCGTCTCTCCCGCTCGACGTATCTGCTGCTGCTGCTGCTGAATGCTTCAGCAGCAACCAAATCTTGTGCCGGTTGTTAACCCTTCATTTAGTATCCGCCCCCCCACCTCCGAGGAGAGTTTGCCATCCTTGCCGCCTAACTACCGGATGTTGTTTACAGTAGAGGTCCCTGTTTAGTGCCGGGGTGTGCGCAAAAGTTTCACCGGCACTATACCGGGCACCGGCACTATACCGGGCACCGGCACTATTCAAAGTACAGAACGACTTGATATTCCAGTGTGTGCGAGCCCAAAACACCGGCACTATACCGCAAACCGGCACTGTTCAACCGGCACTTAACAGGGACCTCTACTGTATTGGTATTTTCGTGCGCCAAATGGCAACACCCCCACCCCCACCCCCCCCATGCCCTCACACTCTCAATCCTCTCTTTACGACCCCCCCTACGTACGGATTTCCACTGCTATCGATGTTTGTGCTGTATCTACAGAAGGCGATACCTGTCGTCAACGACGTGCGTGCTTCCATCTCTTGGGGGAAACACACATACACAACACTGCGGACCTCAACAAGACACTGCACAAAAGGGTAAAAAAACTCCAGTGGGATACACCCCCCCCCTCCCCCCCGCCAAATGCATGTCCCCTTCACAATATTCTGAAAACCCCGGGGGGGCTTGTTGCCTGGGAGGTTCCAATCCAGCAAAAAATACACTACCGGTCGCCCCGGTGGTCTAGTGGGTAGCCTCGCAGCCTGCTAACGGCCAGGTCATGGGTTCGAGTCCCGACAGAGTTTTTTCTCGCTAAAAAAATCCTGGTCTCCGTTGGAAGCAACGCGCTGCAAAGCTCATTGTCAGTAAACTTGATCGACTCCATAAGTCCCGAGGGAAGGGATTGCTGTACCCTTCTCGCGATAACAACATACCAGGCAGGAACCGCAGCCCCCCCCCCCTCCCATGTGACCCCGGTTGGGTCGTCTAGCCGGTGGAAGTGGAGGATAGGGGCCAGAGGGGCAGACGACAGAGTCCAATGATGGGAGAAAAAAAAAAAACTGTCTGTCATGCTTGTCATCGAGAGAACAGAGCAGGGACTTGTTTCCTCCCCCTCCACCAACTCGATAGATAGTGCGCACCATACACAACGGTCAACCTAGACCAAGTCTACACCGCTCTTGAAAGTTTTTTTACACTGGAACGGCAAACAAAGCAAGAAAGTCGTCCTAAATAATATACAAACACAGAGAGAGAGGGAGAGATAGAGAGAGTCTGTGACGGAGACGATAAAAGCAAGCTCAATGACACCGTGTCTCCCTTTCGCTCGCAACTCTAAAATACAGCCAACCATACCCCGCTATCGAACTAAACATGTGTTGTCTAGTCTACCTGCTGCCCATGCTTGAAGTCTTGACCACGCTTTTTTACCACAAAAAGCACCATTGAGCCACTCTTTGGAATGTCTCACGCGACCAAAGTCATGAGAACAAGCAGCAGCAGCAGTAGCCAGGACGGTTTTCTCCCAAGCACTTTCACTCCGGCAAAAAAAGACAAGCGAGAAGAACCCAATCGAAACAATCAAGCAGCGACAACTCACAAAAAAAAAATCACACCGAAAGACACTACAAAAAAAAAAGCTACACAACAGGAGTCCGAACCCGGTGAGAGTCCCTACGACGTTCGAATGCGACTGAAGGGGATTTCTTCCCTGCAGGAACATTTCTTCCCGGTGGGGGGTACAAGGAGCCCTTGTGTTCGCACGTACCACCCCTCCTGAAAAACAGACATACAACACCCGGCTCTCCCCTTTTCCCCATCGGTTATACTTAGACTACCATGGTAGTAAAAAATGCCTACTAGTGATCCGTCCGGAGAGGGCTCATGAGAGCATATAGCAGTGTCATCGAAGGGATGATTCGCAAGATGAAAGCAAAAAGCAGGGAGCAGGACCAGCTCACGGACTGGCTGCCAGCTGCGGCGTGACGTTTTCCCGAGCTCACACAGCTGACGACGTGCTTTTTTGGCTCCCAAGAGCCCAGCTAAAAACCTACACAAACCCCCCTGAAAATTACAAATCTGAAACAGCGCGGATTACTCTCCGTGGTTTGTGTGCCACAGCTGGTGGTTTGTGGGCCACAGCAGCTCTTCCTCCGGCACCACCAGCAGAGCCATAAAAAAACACTCAACATACTCAACATCACGACTATCTAGCCGACAACACTCAAACCAGCGGGCACCAGGCCTTCGTCGAAACGTGGGGCCAAAAACCAGAGAGCGTTGTGGCGGTTTGTTCGCGATACTCGCTCTGGCGTGCATGTGGGGGGCACCGTTAGATCACGTAGGCCAGGGAGGAGACACAGTAGCAGTAGCTGCGGCGGTCGATTGGAGCGCCGGCAGGGCAACCAATGGTGATGGTGGGGGGGGGGGGGGGGGGGGG